TGCGCCCCGCATTCAACTTCTATTTAGAATCGTAGAGGCGAATTGAATGCGTGGATGGCATTTACAATGACTTGGGGTGGCCAGCCGATGTACAAGTCAGTAGTTTTATCCTCCCAGACGAGTGTAGTACCAAACAAGTGAACTTGAAGGGATGGAAGGGTGGTTAGAATTGACGAATTCAAGAAGGGAGTTCACAGTTCGCCACCTTTCTAGGCTTGACTCTAGCTGACGTAAATATGACTTAATTTTGCATTTGAACATCGAGCTACCGCCTTTTCCAAAATATGGAGCCTGCACAAGGGGTGGAGGCGGTGTAGTGGCAAAAGGCGCACCATCACACACGCATGGTCACTGGTTCGAATCCCCGATATCCGTTCAGACCAACCAAGCTTTCCATCCTTCCAACGTTGGTTAATTGGTACCAGACTTGTCTGGGAGGATAAAAGCTCTGACTTCTATGTACATCGGCTGGTCACCTAAAGTCATTGTATAGGCCACCTACGCATTCAGTCCGCCACTGCGCATCCCTCAGGTGGGATTGATCAACCCCCAAAGACTTGATCCTTTTTTACTTTCATGGTGTGTATAAAAACACCGGTCTGATTTCAGCGCACCGGCCTCATGGATGCTTCATAATTCTGGAAGCAATCTAAACCCACCTGCTGCAGAGCTGTTGGATTTCTGAGGAACATATCGTGATACTGATATGTGTTTCATTGACGATGTAGGCGTTTTGGGGATTGCATTGGGGAGCAGAATTGGTTCCAGGGCAGACGTATTAAAATATGTGGTTGCGTCTTCCGTATGGCAATAGTGATCGTCTTCAGCGAACAGCGTAACTTTGTACTCATCGAGTCTTTGTAGATCGTAATCAAACATGTATGTATAGTTCGTTTGGCCCTGCAACGAAAGGAAAGCATTCTGATGGGATTTATTCGTTTGAGCAACTGACAGTACCTTTGTTCCGCTAAACTCCCGCTCGCCATCATCGGCGATCCGAAATCGAAACGCATTTGGATCTTTGAACTCTATCGGAGGTCGGAATCTGAGGATTCAGAAGCTAATAATTAAAGTAGGTAAAATTTCACCCAGATGGGTGCTTGAAAAAAGTTCGCACACCTTTCATGAAGGGTTATATAAAAAGTGTAGACGCGTTCTGGTTTGGGATTATGCTTCCAAGTGATTTCGACTCCTCCATAAACTTCTGTAGCCTTCAGTGACGTCGGTAGTTCTACTGCTCCCTCTAAACATTTGTATCAGACCTTCTGTTCCGAATTTTGTTCTTTCAATTCAGCTCATAAGGGGATTCGAACAAGATGAAAGGCGCCTGCCAGTGAGGAACAACTGCTCATCTTGTCCTCCCATCCATCTAAAAGCTCTCGTAAAACAGAACATGTGATTCTCGATTGAAAGCTCTTCGGCTCTCGCTCTTGTCATCGGCAATAGGATAATACGAGAACAACTACTTTAGAGTAGTTTTCACGATAAACTAGTTCTATGACGTTTCGTTGGATTGAATCCAACGAGTGAACAGCGATGAGATCCTCAGTGGCGAACGAATTGGAAATTAGAGGAAAACCAATGGGAATAAGTAATTTTTTCCACTGCATAGATAAGTTGAGGCTCAAAATAGGTAAAATGGGGAAGCTGAAATGACTCGGTGAACCAGGAATTCGGGTATAAGTGTGGGAGGGGTATGGCATCGGAAATGTAGCGAGCTAACATCAATGAGGAACCGAGATAAAACAGTAAGACGTATTGCCTAATGTTGTAGACCTACACCTTCGATCTCTAATCGATATCCCTCCTATATCGAGCCACTTGGTAGTGGGAGGTCCGATCAACCCTCAATTTGGGAGGAGAAATCAACTCACCACTACACGCACAAAATCCATCGATGCAGTGTGGCACTGTATGGTGCTCGATGGCGGTGTAGGCGGCATCACCGTATGGATAAGGTTTGGAATGCATTTGAAGCCTAAATTTGACAACTCTCTCATTTGAGACATACAGAAAAGTTCAGGCGTTGAAATTCTCCTACCTGTACTCACAGTCATGATTGATTACCAATGGATGGTTGTTGAAAAGCAGCGGAATTGGATGTGATCGTTCCTTCTGTAAGTTTCGGGAAGTTGGACTTGGGAAAAGACTGTCAAACGTCGGCTCAAAAATGAGCGATATTTGGGAACAATTCATGGATTGAACAAGGTTTCATTGTATTATATTTCACCTTCACCGTCAACGCAGTATGGTTGAGAGCACTTAATGGGCAAAATCGGGAGACCCAAAAAATTAATGTGAACTCTTTTCTAAGGTATTCAGCAAATATGGCTGACACAGTCTCCCATCGTTTCTATACCGTGTTGCACTTCTATAAAGGCGGAAGTGATGCAGTGCAAGACAGGTCTTCCATCTCTCCGGGTCCGGTCAACGGCAGAACTAACGATAATCTTGGGGTACATAGTTCAGAGGAATGACGGGGGCGATAGGCTAGGAGTATGAAGCAGTGAAGAAAAGGGGTCTTGATATACATAAAGCTTCAAAAAAGTAGTAAAATTAGGGGGAGGACGAGAAAGTGATGACCAAAGTTGCATGGAAGGGGTATTTGGACGAGCTGTCCGAGTGTGTGGGTCATTGCGTACAGTGACTACAGTAAGCTGCTTGCGTGTAATGTGTGCATCCTGGCACGAATGGTACAACCTCCACAGCCTCTACAACGCCACGCCGTAGAACTCGTCCAGGCCTGGTTTGTACGTGGGTAAAGCCGGTTTTGGGCCGTTATCACGCCCTATTTAGACCGTTTTTTTCGCTCCGACAGCGCTCTTTGTGCTATCCTTCAGGGACACAGGTTCATTTCAGAGAGAAATACAAGCATGATTTTGGAAGTAACTTAAGGGGCATCCCAAATGAGGGATAGGTGAACTTCAACGGATCTCGGACTCTGAAAACCTTCACTCAAATTACAGCAACCCATTTGAAATGTGGGTTCGATGGCTTTCAGCAGCGCACTTACTTCAAACCCTCTGTGAATGCCGTAAAGCGGTTTTGCTGTAAGAAGGGAATCGTCAGTGTGATAGTCGCACATTCATCATTACCGACGGGAAAACAGGTGAAAACTTTTCTCCTGGTCCATTCGGAACCCTTGTATCAAAAAATCGTCGAACTAGAAAAATCCCGATGAGATAGAGAGTTTATTTGTTGCCGTGTTGTAATAGAACAAGCACCGCCTGATTGCTGGTCGTCTTACGCGCTGTAGATCTTTCAATCACATTACCGCGTCTTTTTTTGTATGACACGACATTTGACAATAAATCAGCGGCCACTGGCCGAACATCCTACGAACACTGCTAATAACAACTCGGTGACGGTTCCCTTTGAACTAACATAGCAGTGAAAGTGAACGCCTGAACGCATTGGTGGGGAAGGGAGGGGGGAACACTGAACGCCATAGGGAAGGGAAAAAAGGGTAGCCGACTTAGTCTATAATGGTGCATAGAAACGGTACTTAAGCGAGATACACATTTTCAAAACTAAGCACTTGGAGGGAGGGAGCACCGGGGTGGCTGAGTCCACTCGATATCCAATTCTTACATTATCCAACTTTTTACTAGAGGAAATCATCCCATATGCCCCAGTACTCCTCCTCTACTGGGCTTAGGTGAAACCATATTCCTCTGGCTAGAAACCCGTTCTGAAAACGGCCCCTCCCCCTCCCCCCTATATTACCAACATGGCCACATTCCCCTGCCTTAAGGGTAACTTGACAAAAGATGATGACAAAATGGCCTTTGGTGATACTACGTGGTGTTCATTGTCGTGTCATACTATTTAACAGGATGGAAACCTTAAGTTCTCTCAACGACATAAATACATAACATAATAATTTAATCCGATGCCAATGATAATTGTAATAGATAATAAACAAAAACAGATAATAGTAAGAACGACACTACCAGTACTACTGAGGATTACCACAGTACATAGATAATGCAGAAGAGCAAAAAACGTCAGATAACGGTCGCAACAACTATCAACCATTTTGTAATTTGCTTACTAGATTGTTTATAGTTGTTTGAAATTCTTTTCATGGGAACAGAACTGGGAAATGAGCTAAAGCGTTCAGGCTGAAGGGTGGGAGAGGGGGGTGCAATTGTATAGCGATGGCGATAAGAAATAGTTGGGTCGATATCGGTGATCAGAAGGCAGCGTGTCACAAATGTGTCAAGGAATCAATCACTGTGAAGACACTGAAGGTTCAGCTTTGACAAGTGTTAACTACGACTACTACCTTTCCATTGCCAGCGATCAAATGAATGTCAGCTCATTTTTACCCCGACATCAGTAGCAGCAACAGGTATTTTGAGGAAGTATGTGACCTATTCACGGAGGTGGTGTAGTGGCAAGTGGCGCACTATATCACACGCACGGTAAGGGGTTTGGATTCCGGATCGATGCCCGCTCAGACCAACCAAGCCTTCCATCCCTCAGGGGTCGGCGAATTGGTACCAGACTCGTCTGGGAGGATAAAAGCACTGACTTGTACATCGGCTGGCCACCGCAAGTCATTGTATAGGCCACATTCGCACTCACTACGCCACTACGATTCTGAATGGAACTCGAGTGTGGGGGCGCATCCCTCAGACTGGGTTAATTAACGCCAAAAACTTTATCCTTTACTTTAACTTTATGTGACCTATTCATGGCATGCGAGAGCTAGCTTCAGCTTTTACCTTCTCAGACCAGTCTGATACCAATCCACCTCAAAGGCTTCCTTGGCCGGGAGAAGTCTTCTTCTAAGAGTTCAGGATCTGCTGTTCTTGTTACCCGTATCGATTTCATTGTACCTATGGAATCTTCTGTTGTCACTTAGGTTTTGGCGAGGTCCTTCTTGATGATGTCCTGCCAACTCGGAGCTCCTCCCAGCCGCTTCCCTTGAACTTCCAGCCCCATTGCCTTCCTTATGGGATGATCTGGTACATGTCTAGACCATTACATACTGTGCTCACCTCTTCTTCAGCTGAACAGCCTGTCTGCATCTGACGTCATCGTTTCTGACTCAGTTCGCTAGGAGTCCAACCTTAGACCCACCTGAACGTCTTCTTTTTTGCTGAGTGANACAGGCCAGTACTTGCTACCGTAGAGCATCGCTAGTCTCACCACTGCTGTGTACAACTTAGCTCTAAGCCTACTGATAGTCGCGTAGATTGCCATCCCACTGCACTCACTTCGTTGGACTCATGCTGCATTTGATGGGACTTTTACAGCTTGGCACATGCTACCATCACCAGCCACGTCCCTCCCCAGATATCGGAAGATCTGCACCCTTTCGATGACTTCTGCGAGACAAACTATTGGCTCTGCTTATCCGAGCTGAAGGACTTAGCCTTCTTTACACTCTGCTGGAGCCCATTTCTCACCATAGCATTCTATGTTTTCTGCAGCTTTCTCTTAGGTTCTTCTTCAGTCTCCGCTACCACAGCGATGTTATTAGTGTAGGAGATTGTTTTTAATGGCCCATCGTCGAATCTATTTAAGAACATCCGGTATAAGCAGGAAGAGGATCGAAGTGGTAATAGCAATGGAAATACAATTATGATTGAAAGAACGTCTCTAACTCTGTGAGGCCACATGGGACAATGTGCAGTTTGAAAGCAGTCGAGTTATTGGACAATAAAGTTTCAAAAACCAGTCGCGACGTACACTGCCACTAGGCACTCCCTAGAAAGGACGTATTCAAAGGTGACACCATTAAAAATAGAGCACGTTTGTTGCAGATGCAGTCAGCTGATACGCACTTATAGCTAACAAATATTGATTTGCAACGACCGACTGCTTCAACGATCTATACAATTGCTTGTGATAGAAAACCGATTGAATTCAAGACCTTCACCTTCCCCCACCCCCTAGGGCATGCTTGGTATCAATCCGGAGGGATTTGATGTCAGGACAGTGCATGCAATTGTGTTACATCTGGCGCCCCACCACCTGCACCCAGAACCCGTGCATGAAGCTTTGCCAATGGCNGACCGACTGCTTCAACGATCTATACAATTGCTTGTGATAGAAAACCGATTGAATTCAAGACCTTTACCTTCCCCCACCCCCTAAGGCATGCTTGGTACCGATCCGGAGGGATGGAAGGCATGAATTAGTTCGGGATTTGATTTCAGGACAGTGCATGCAATTGTGTTACATCTGGCGCCCCACCACCTGCACCCAGAACCCGTGCATGAAGCTTTGCCAATGGCTAGCGTCTTCTTTACTTTTTCTGAAGCAGTTCCAGGCCGTTTCCCCTACAGAATGCCATTTTTTGCCAAAAACATAACACCTGAAGACATGAAACTCGTACCGGGCCAATATTTGACGCGAAGTAGCCGGGGAAATCTCGTTGACAGCGTTCGCCAATAGCACTATAGCGAAGGTAAAAGCCAGTTCGACTCAGGTCTGAAATGAATGGCCTTTGAGTCAATGGGTATCCCAGTGATATGGCTGGCATCGCTCGCAAGTGTGATATAGAACATTAACCTTTGGTTGACGACCATGTGACAGTTGTCTCGAGAAACTTCCCATTATCGATCACAACGGCCGTGTCGATTGATACATTCTTGGGTGGAGTCGGATAATCTGAAATAAATAGTAAGTAACAGTAATGAAGCAGAACAAACAGACAGATTGCAAGCCTTACAGACAATATCGGGTACGTTGTCCTTTCTGGGTAGCTTAGAGCATTCGGCGACACAGGACTCGAAAGCTCTATGGCTCTCCAGATGGGCACATTCTGCTACGCAATCGGACCGTTGTTGAAGGGCTATCACCATTGTCAACGGCATTATCGTAGTATGTAGTAAGCTAATTGTAAGCCAATTCATGGTTCTCTTCTGCTCATTGATGGCAACTGGGTTCTAAAATTCTGAGGACTACGGGAGTCAAGAAATATTCTGAAGATTAAGCATTGAATACTAATCCAAGCACGAAAATACTGGCCGATTCCAGAGCATTGATTCAAATTGAAAAGTTCTGAATTCTACTGAACAATCCAGTTAAAGAGCAAGTATTAAAAAGGTGCCCAGTTCACGGAATGTCGACAAAATCAAAAAGTTGCGGTGATGGGCCCCGAAAACGTCTAACTGTCCTTTCGGATTCACTTCAAACAAAGTTGGTGATGGAATAGCAGCAGAAATCTACTGGGCACATCATGGCCCTAACGATTTTGAGCCAGAGATTGAGGACGAGATTGGAGGAGAGAGAAGAAGAGGCTTATAGCAGAGTCATAAGCAGCCTCAGGGATTGGTTCTTTCCAGGGATTGGTTCTTGAAAACGCTCAACGGCTCGGACTAGCAGCTATGTAAACAAACATGACATCGTTTTTTTCCAAAATTCATTTCCTATACGCAAATGGATCCGAACAGAATGTGAAAGGCTCCAAGGGGCCCTATTCCAGAAGGGCGAAGTCATGCATGACCGGCTTTGCGCCATCGATACAAATTAGATATGGAGGCGAAAAAAGTACTAAAAACAAATTTTCAAATGTCCAACGGCTGCCTTTGGACGGGTAAAACCTTTCGATGACATCAAGTAGTACAAATTTTAAAAACCGTAACAGATTGAACATTGGTTTTCGGCGGGTGTCGTGCTGGGGGCTAGGGGAATTGGCGATGTTACCGACAACGGTGCTATGGGCAGCTGACGCGTCGCCAGCAGTTTACACTCAGGGATTCTTCAACAGCGTAAAGACTACGAGGCATGGGGAGAGTGGGGAGAAAATCAAAAATGAGGCGCTGATTGGTATATGTATTATGTTCGGCGAATTCTTTATGGGTAATCGAATAACTATACTGGAAGCTGTCTTTAAAAATACTTCCAAAGGAAGTCTCGATGCTGAAATAACAAACCAGTTATGGAAACTTCTCAATGGCTGTTGTTATAGGACCGTTTGGGAGTAATTTGAAGGAAGCCATGGTAAAGAAACTATAGATAAGGGATGCTGATAATAATGCATACAAAAAGTGCTAATAACATTACCAGGAATAGAAAAGGTAAAGACTTTTAGCGTTGATCAATCCCGCCCGGGAGATGCGCCCCGCACTCTACTTCCATTCAGAATCTTAGTGGCGCATTGAATGCGTATGAGGTCTATACAATGACTTGCGGTGCCCAGCCGATGTACAAGTCAGGGCTTTCATCGTCCCAAACGCGTCTGGTACCAAGTAACTGACCTAAGGCATAGAAGGCTTGGTTGTCCTCGGCGGATAACGATCCCGGATTGGAACCAGTGACCATGCGTGTGTGATAGTGCACCACTTGCCGCTACACCACCTCCGCCACCACCAATGAGAAGGAGTAATGCCTAAGTCTGCACAATTAATGAATGTCAAATTGCACTCTACCTGGAGTTGAAACCTGGAACGTTTATGAAAGTGTTATTATTGTTCTTAGGTGACTGTCAGGTCACTTACACTACAGTAGTACAGTATAATGCATTATTATACTGTACTTCTCAATATCTTTACTTCTTTCTGGAACACTGTGGATTGAGAAATTTGGAAAAATAGTCTGGAAATTTCTCGAATACTTCCCAAAAATCGATACTCATTCTTTTTGTTATTTAAATATTTTCGATATATATATATATATATATATATATATATATATATATATATATATATATATAGTTGTTCCGAAGTGGTGTAATGGCGAGTGGCGCACTGTCTCACAAGCATGGTCACGGGTTCGAATCCCAAATCAATATCCGTTTAGACCGACTGAGCCTTCCATCCCTCTGGGGTCGGTTCATTGGTATCAGACTCCTTTGGGAGGATGAAAGCACTGGCTTGCACATCGGCTGACTACGGCAAGTCATTGTATAAGCCACACACTCAATACGCAACTATGATTCCGATTGCAAGTCGACTGCCTTCATCCTTCAGATGGATTAAGGCCCAAGGACTTTATCCTTTATCCTTCATCGGTGTTCGGATGTTTGAGCACACAGGAAGGGCACCATAAATGAGCCCCAGAGGCCGCTGATTGTTACTGATTCGATTACCGAAATACGTAAACCATTCTCAAAGTGCAAGGAGGTGTCCTGACATCGGACCAGTTAGGCAAACATTGTCTCAAAGCTCCGGTCTCATATTCCAATCATATTTGTTTCTAACTCGTATAAATCTACAAATCATCTACAAATCCCTCAAGAGTAAAGAAACGTTTATGCATCGATCATAGCTTGGTATCAAAGACAGTAGAAAAGCTATACCAACGACTCGGCCGCCGTAATAACCATCAATTGGTTTTCAGTGTGAATAGAGTATGCAATCAGATCCGCACCTGGCCCGGGACCACTAACGCGTCCGGGATCTTGAAAGTTTTCTCCAATACTCTATTAACAGATCCGGAACTGAAGTAAAGCGTCGGGTGCTGTTTCTTTAGTTTCGGCAAAGTCCTTTTTGACTACCACCACCACCTTTTTCTTGAGGCACCGCATCCCTCTAGCTTCGAACTCATTTGCTTTCCCCTACCGTATTCCCTGGGCCTTCTCAATAAGTTACCTCTACCATCATAAAAGCCACTTTCTAATCTTTTGCTGGACAAGGGCTGTTTACATGACCAAACTGACGTCTTCGTTTCTGACAAAGGCTTTGTCCTTGTAAGCTTTGGAATTTTCTAATGCCATGGTTTATTTAAAATTGTGTTCCGAGCAATCAAGTGTTCCCCGAATAGCTTTTCTACTTTTTCAGAAACAGAATGGCGAGATACAGAAAGAAACGAAGCAGGAAGTCGGTAAGTTTTTTTTAAAGGTTTCGCTCCCTTCTGATTCCGTTACATTTCATTTCGATACAACCGTTCAAGTTAACAACTCTCAGCTAAGTCGTTTCCACGTACCAAGTTGTGGTCTTAGCTGAAACGTGAACCATAGACAGAGAGTGAACTCAACAATGATGACTCTTACAGGTGATTCAGCCTCCCATCCAATTTCAGAGCCCTCACGTGGATCACTAATGTCCTTAGATTTCTAGACGCAGATATTATGGGTTCGTTCGCATGACCTCCTGCTTCAGAACCCTAAAGACGTCTTCTCTAAGGAATACTTAGCTGTGGCAACACATCAACAATGCCAGCAGTGTTTTCTAATAGTAAAGGTTACTCAAAAGGTCTTTAAAAGGGAGAAAATGTATGTCGTCCTGTACGAGCTTGCAGTGTTGGCGGCCACTGCCCTTCCGAGCCGAATTCCAACCCCTCTTCACGTAGGTCCCACTGTTGCTCCCTATTAGTCTAAATTACTGCTTATCGGTGACTTGTTTGTGTTCTTTTTGCCATTTTGTTGTTTTCTTTGCTTTCCGGTAATAAATCATAATCATAATCATAAAATGGTCGTCAAAAATGCTGACCGATTGTTTTTCGGTGAGATACATCCCACCATGACTATGATCGCTGAAGCCCTTAGCCTTCCTTCAGCCTTTCGAACTCCTAATATTTATACTGATCATTTATAGGCGACGTCAAAAGAGACCAGTACAGTCCTCCAACATTTGCTAGCTGCTGCACGTCCTGATGCCGGCTCCTACATTGCCCGTGTGTCTCGAGCCAGTTTCGCTGCACTACCAGGACTGCCAGCCAATCGCCCACTGGTGAGTGTTGGTCGATGAAATCTGCGATGAAATCCTCATGAGAAACGAGAATATTAATCCATTCTGAAATAGAATCTGCCTGTAGTTGCTCAGCGCAACGAGCACGGATGGGAGCTTCTGCTTCCCGGAGTATGGCAAACACTTCCTTTTCTCATATCCCTCTGCCAAGTTATTCTTTCCATGTCAAACCTCAGCTGCAAACCACACTGAAATCTCTTCTTTGTCATATTTTCAGAACTTAGTCACTTTGGCGCTGTGAGTGATTCAGTGTCAAGCTCTTTAAAAGTCACGGTGTAATCAAGTGGAGGTGGTGTAGCGCCAATTGGAGCATGACCACAAGTACGGTCAACGGATAGTGCCGGATTGGCCAACCGAGTGTTCCATTCCTCGGAGTCGATTAGTTCTTAACAGGCTCGTCTTAGAACTTGAAAATCTGTCGCAAGACATTGTGTAGGTCCTAGACCCATTTGAAATGTTAGTACAACCCTACTACTTTCTGAATGAAAGTACAATACGGAGGAAACCGATCGGAATTGACCGACGCCATTCAAATTTATCCTTTTATCTTTTGTTTAATTCAATCACTTGTACTCGTCAGCTATCCTACCGTACCTGCTTGACTAACTGGTAGTGGAACTCGACAATCTGCTCCCTTTTTTTCGAAAATTTAAAATGTACGAATACGGTCATAAAGGCAGAAGGTGAGGGGAACAAAGCTCTAACCTACTGATTCGATCCTTCTTCGCTTGAAGTGAAGGAATTGTTCACTTCAAGCGAAGAAGGATCAAAGAGTCCGGAAGGGCGAACCTATCCGGTACGGCTTGATCAATTCCAGTCTTCCTACGCCAAATTAGACATTTGCAGATTACAGCTGAGGAGCAAAATGACTGATCATCAGTCTATTTACTTCGCCAGCAGCCCTTCGTTCAGGCCTTTTATGAAGAAGTCTGACCATCGGTCTGGCGGCCATCATGGCGTTCGTTGGAGTCCCGAGAGGTGCAGTCTGTAACTTCGCTGGTCCAATGGTCATCACGACATCACATAACGTGTCGACCGACCCTATCTTCGATGCCTTGGCGCAAGTAACGGCACCACTGAACTTCGTTCCCTGACGGAGCTCGAAACTCCAGATTCCCTTCTGCATTTGTTCTTCAGGGAAATTCCAAGCACCATCCTTTCTAGAGCGTGTTGTATTACGCTGACTGCATGTTCATCCTGCTTTCGTAGACATGAAGTCTCCG